ATGAAAAAGCATATTTTAATATCTAATACATGATTATACATTACCTTTTTATTAAGTGTTCAAAAATGTGCCCTAAATATGTCTGATTTACACTTTGTACTAAAGAATCATTAATTTTTTTAATGAACGTGAACTATTTTTGAAGTCACATTAACATTTTCAGTTAATCTTTTGTTCTATATTGAAATTTTAATGTAATTTCATGCTTTACTCATTATTTTTTATTTTTCTTTTATAGCATCCAACATTTGACAGATTTTCCAACTGAAGGAGAACTTTCTATAAATATTTTTTGTTTTAAGTAAATGTAAGATAAACTATTTTCCATTTATATACCTAGGTAAACCTAGTAGGTATACAAAGAATATACCTTTCACTAAACTTTATTTTTGATATATTTGCTAATCTAGTGTCATGTAAATGATAATCATGATTAAAAAATTGATAGGATATTTAATTTAATAAAGTGTTCATTATTCAAAAGTATATTCATACTTTTTATCTTTGTAATGAGTACACCAAGCTCAAATTGTCTGTTACAAATTATAATGGACTATTGTAAAAATAAAATTGTACACAAATTAAGTTTATTTATTAAAAAAATTAAAACATTACAGTTTTTTATTTAGTTCTTGCTCTTTAATAATTATATCTAAGTCTAATAATCTCATTTCCTTTTCGTGTTTAGCCTGTGCTCTTGCTTCTTCTTGGTCGTGCTTAGCCTTAGCTCTGGTTTCTTCATTTTTACAATGAATGAGTTGATTTTTCAATAGCTCTTCTCTTAATGTTAGGACACTATCCATTTTTACAGTGTTTTGTGTGCCTACCTTTTTTTTTGGGGTTAACAGAGGGTTTTTCTTGGTTTTCAGATCTCTCGGAGACCAAGACTTCCAAGATTTTTTAATCTGAAAAATAGAAAAATTTCCAAATAATGTTTATTCAATCTTAATATTAAAAAATAAAGAAATAAAATTACATTTATCCCTGATGTTCCAGCAACAGAGGTACTGCAATCAGTATTAACGGAGGTGTTGTCTACCTTCACCGCTGACACATCTGAAGTGATCCCAGTTGTCTCGTCTAGAAAAACCTAAAAGTAAATGTTATAGTTAGTATTGCAGAATAAAATTTAAGCAAATGTATATTATACACTATACAGTTTTGATTGATCAAATTATTTAATATATAAAAAAAAATTATAAATATTACAAAGACTTACTATGGGTAAGTTATAGTCTTGCAGCTCATGTTCAGTTATAGCTGGGACCCATGGATCTTCTTCATTTGGAGGAATCATAATCTCACCAGTGATTGCTAAAAAACATTTTTATAAATAATTTCCTTAAAAAACTTTTGGAAATACCTATACTGCCATGTTAATTCAAATGGCCGTAACTGCAATTTTCCTTGAAATAAAGATATGACCACTACGCCTGACAACAATGAATTTTTTATTTATCTCTATAATTTTCATGGATATACATTCTATAAAATCTGAGATTTAACGCTTAGAAACTTGAGCGTAAGTGATTTTTCTTGAAAAATCGATTTTAATCATGTTTATGTATTAAACAGATATGGCCATTTGAATTAACATGGCAGTATATATAGGTATATGTATATTTACAATTTATTATTAAAAAAATAATTCAATTATGCTGATTTGCAAAAGTTAATCAAATACTATCATGTATTATTCATAAATAAAGCTTTAAAAGTTATACCATACAGTTGAAAATACCAAACTTTTACAAGAATACATAATAAATTAAACTTACTCGTTTCAGGTAGAACCCTGTCAGAATCGAACTCTGATGGTAGGCCAGAGATTGAAAGGCTTAAAACTTCAAGTAAATCCTTTTCTGGACCTTCAATTTTAATATATTCCGGTTTCCCTCCACCAGTTTTACATGTTTCGGCCTTATTTTTATTAACTTTTTTTTTTAAATCCTTTTTCAGGCCATCATACTTGGCTCTCAGTGTTTCCACTGACCTAGTATTTATCCCTAAAACAGTTCATTTGAAATAAAATTGATTTAGGTAATATTATATAGACTAGTACCTGAATTAGCATTGAACAGTTTAGATATTTCAACCCATGTTGCCTCCTTCAACTTCCATGTGTCTGAATCCGTGGTTTTGTTCTCTAACACATGTTTTTTTTTTAAAGCCAGTCCTATTAAGAGTCTAGTCTCATCTAGGGAAAAGTTCGGTGCCCGGACCCTCTTTTTTTTTCCGTCTGTCGGTGTTTGCGACATTTTATAAAAAAAATGGGTTAAAAAAATTAAAAACTAATAAATCACTAAATACTAATAAAAAGTCACTAAATACTAATAAAAAGTCACTAAATACTAATAAAAAGTCACTAAGCACTAATGAAAAGTCTCTAAACACTAATAAACAGTAAATAACGTCCAAATATTAACGGCAAATAACAGAAACGGAAAGAATAAACACGGAATAAAATTAATTTTGCATGATCGAAAAACAAAATGAATTAAATGACAAATGACAAATAAAAATTATTTGACTTTGACGTATGACAAAGAGTAGATTGTAGGTTCGTGAATTGATGTAAGTGACACTCGAGATTCTCTTTCTCTTGCTAATATATAATGCTTGTATCATGGTATCTCTTACTTTGATATAATTTCAGTTGGCAATATTTAACTTAATTAGTGTCTACTAAAACATCTCGCCAGATACTTATCTAATGGATAATTCAGAATGAAAGTACTCGTACAAGTCATCTTTTAGATAACGAGTTCTAGTTAATTTATGTGTAAGATAGTTATCTGAAGATTAAAGCTTATCTATCTATAGGTGAAAGTACCGGGCCTAAACCCTTCGCAAATCTTGCAGATAACATCTGGCGCCCAAGGTTTATCTTGATCTCCAAGTCTGACTTTAAAATATGCAGAATATGCATTTTTTTACGAAATCAGTAATGTTTCTTTTAAACTTCTTCTCTATAAAGTGTCCACAAATATAACAAACGTCATCAGGCTTATTTTTACAACACCTACTAGACATTTTTTTAATAGAAAATGCACAACGAAACACCGATAGAGTTCTTCGATAGACAACGCATGTCTCAATACCACGGGGATATTAAATATATCGCCCTCTTTCCTGAATAAATCGAGTCTTGGGGAATCCCCAACAATATTCTAGTAAGTACCGGTAAATCCCCCTACAAATGCGCAAATTAAAACGAGGTTTTAACGCGTCTTAACGTTTTGAACAAAAATAAGGAATTCAAATTAATTTGTTTATGATGTTCAGGGATGATACTAGTTTACAAAAAAAGTTTAGAATTAGAATTAGAATAAAAAGGGGGTTATTTTAGCTACATAGAAGTTGTAAATAGGTGAAAACAAAGAAAATGGCTAGATCACAAAATTTTTGCGGGCCTGTGAATTAAACCGATCTAGTTTTGTTGACTTTTTAATATAAAAGTATTTACTATAAAATTAACTCACCTAATGTACCTCCGAGGAGAATGAGACATCCATGTATGTTTAATATTCACCTGTGGTGACCATGCTCCGATTGGCAAATAATTTTAACACTTGTATTGATATAGACTGGACATTACCATTTAATATGTTCCGAAAACTTGTATTTAATTAATACATTATTCTTGATTAATTATTACATTACTCTTAATTAATTTTAATACTGAATAAGTTGTAATATTAGTTGTAATTTCCTACTGTTTATTACTATTATTATTTATGTATTATGGTACTTTTATCCGTGTAATAAAGCTGTTAGCCTGTTTGGATACAAATAAATAAATAAATTTATTTCAAGATATCTCAAAAACAGTTCTTACCATATTTTTTTTTATCTAATAATGTAATTTAATAAATTATAAAATTTTCTAAAAAAACGCTGAATTTTTTGACCGTCTTGGTAAAAAGATATAGATTTTTAAAATAAAAATATTTTTAAAGCAGTCGACCCATAGTTGCATAAAATGATTACAACTTGGCAACATTGTAATCGCTACGCTTGACGCCTGGCAACAAAATAACACTCGATCAGCTAAGAGGTTGTTATAACCCCGCGACGTGTTCTTGAAAAATTAATTCGTCCACTGTATTTGAGAACTGAAATCAACGATTCTGTTTGAACCAAAACAAACCTTTAAAATTAGTATGAGGAAGTCGCAAATTTCTATAGCACACCATTAGTATATTTGCGGCGTTGCCGGATGGATTTTATTTGAAATTATAACATATCAATATACATATATATACAAAAATAAAATTGTTTAGCATTGAAAATCTCGAACTTTTGGTATTCATCATTATACGATATTTTTATGTACGACTGTCGCGAGTGAACTACCTTAAATCATTAGTAAATAGCAAGCCTTGGCCAAGACCTACAATAGCCAATCATGATCTATAAAGCCTGTTGTATAAAGCCTTTGCAGAATTCTGGAAGATAAATAGAACGGTTTTGTATTTTATTTGTCTCATTATATAAGTATAAGTAGTTTTTTTAAGTTGTATTTGTTTGAAAATATAATAACTGAAATTTATTTATAATTTGTTATATTCGAATTATATCCTTCTTATAAATTTATTTAACTACTGCAATTTTTAGAGCTAAAGGAGTATAATTCCATTTGAAAATTTAATTCATTAAGAAATAGCATGTGTTCTGCTAAAATAGCTGACATTTGTTAACTACCTACTTTTATTACAATGACATCAACATTTACCTACATATTTTTAAAATTTTAATGACTTTATTGTTGTTTTTCCCTTCAGTTACAATTTTAGAAATAAATACTTTTCTTTTATATTTCTCGTATTTCCAAGATTTACAGATTTACAAAGAAATTATTAAATTCTTCTGCTCTTTCATGCGTACTTCTATAAATACTTTATTTCCAATTTCTTTCAATAAGGTTATTAACATTTTCAATTCGTATTAAATAAAATATATATCATCTAACTAGTAATTTTGTTTTTTTTTTTTTTCAGAAATATATCTGAGACAGATATAATATCAAGAAGGCGAGGGCAGCTGTTCGAAGTATCAGCCACAGTGACGTTACCTGCTCTTGAAGGCCCAGAGGTATTTTCCTGCAAGCTCCATATACCCCAAGCGAATTACACGACCCGTAGGGAAACAGTTTTCTATCCAGGTAATTAATGTCCTTTAGAATTAGCTATAAACAACACATCGGTAATTTTAATCGTATTTGCGTAAAAAAATCAAGAAAGGTTTTATATGTGCATGTGTGTGAGAGAGAATGGCATTAGACTAGGTCTGTTTGCCACAACATGAGGAATATATATATATATATACAAAAACTTTAATAAAATGATTGGTAAAATCGAATTATATTAGTAGGTTAATTGATGATAGGAACTTTGTGAGACATATATAAATTAATTTATTTTCAAGAGCAAGTAGGTACGTAATATTATAGGGCGGGAATATATTCATATTAATGAGCATTTTTTTACAATTGGATAATTAAATCATAATTGTTTGAACAATTGAAATAAATATGATTAAGATCTGAAGTGGAGGAACTATTACATGTACATATAGGAGAATCCAGCAGGCCAAAAGGTTTTATATGAAAACCTTAATTTGTCTTTTGTATAAACAAGGATAACTTTCTAACCATAGTAGAATTTTATACAAATAAATAATAAGTTTCTTGGTAATATCGGTTTTTGTTTAAGGAGCACTACATATGTTTTGGATTTATTTCCATCTTCTGGTGCAGTTATTAATTAATTTTTTTTAAAAACATTGAGAGGCAAATATTTAATTTGTCTGTTTAATTAGGCATGAAGAATAAATTAGTATTAATATATTATTGTTTGTTATTCGAGCTCATAAGTATACCAATATGATAAATGCAAATGTTTAAAACGTTACTAAATTTTATTCGGCCACCACTATCACTCTATTAGTAATTTATAACATAATTTGCCAGCGAAACCCAAAATTTTAATACAAGGAATAAAAGAACAAGAATGACTTATACATAGATACTCACTTCACGCCTAGGAGTCTTTCCAGACCACTATACCAGTGACATAAGTACAACCGTAGGAAAATAAACAATTGGAGGATAATAAGAAAGAAATGATGTAATAAAAGATAAAATCATGAAGATATTCGGCATTCATAAAAAATCGTATATAAATCTGCATCCAGAAGACTCTATATCTGTATCTATAATGTGTAGAGGGTGGGTTACCCCACGGCACTTAGGCCTCATTAGGCCCATTGTGCATCCTCCTGAGAAGATAGGCACCTCCTAGCTCGTGAGCTAGCCTACAGATTTAATGTAGTTGACAACGTCGCCAAGAGGTGCTTCTCTTATATCGGCCGGTGTTAGCCGATACTCGCCGAACACAAATCTTCTGATAAATGAGAGCGTCGAACAATCGTCAAGGATATGCTCGATGGTCTCATCTTCTTGTTCGCACCCTCTGACTGCCCCATGATATGGAGATGCTTTCGTACTTGGCAATGACCAGTCAGAATGTCTGTGACTAGGCGCAGATTCTGTCTAGTCATAGTCATGTATTTGTTTGCTGCAGTGTTGTCAGGATAACTTAAGAGCTCCCTGGCAACTCTGCAGTTTCTTGTTTCATCCCATCTTTCCTTGAATTTCACAAGGGAATGTTCTTTGATTAGGTCTGTCACTACCGATTTTGTCAGGCCAATAGAAGGGCCAGGTCCAAAAAGTATTTGGTTGACTGCTTTCTTGGCTAATGAATCAGCAAGACGGTTACCTTACTAGGTGGCGTGACCTTTAATCCATCTTAAGGTGACCACTTTGTTGATGAATACTTCGGCCAAAGCTTCGTGATATTCTAGTACTAACCCTAAATAAATTCGAGGTCTGTTTAGGGTGAGTAGTGTTTGTCTGCTATCTATATAGATGAGCATGTTCCTTTCAATGATATTGTTTCTGGTTATTTCTTTTGCTGCTATGAGAATCCCTGTTAACTCTGTTTGAACTACACAGGCACTATTGCTCACAGCCCATTTTATGTTCAGGTTTAAAAATCTGGAGTATGTTCCACATCCTGAGCCTTGTTTTGTTTTAGATCCGTCGGTGTAGATATGACTCTTCTATTTGTTCTATTATAACTTTATATGGCTTATGAAACGACGTACATCCACATTTTGAGTCACTCATAGGAATCTCAGACCATGTCACCGAAATGGGAAGCATCCAGTTCAACATAATCAAATCATCCTGGACATCACGGATTTTAATTGAATGAAAAATAAATTGATTCAACTGTATTGGAAGCAAGCATTAGGTTTAGAAGATGATCCAATAAAAAAGTGGGACAATTTTTATAATATCTTTTTGTAATATAAGAATCTTCAAAAAAAAAACTATTTTCCGAAATTAATTGAAACCTTGGATAAGCAGCGATATACTGTCCTTGATTAAAAATAAAAAGAAACTCTGGCGTAAATATAAACTATCCGGTGAAATAAATGACTTACAAACTCACAGAACTTTCTTAAATGATCTCAAGAGATTCCTAAACGATGCCAGACAAGTATATGAAAAGTCTATAGCTGACAGTGAAAACGACAAAAGGTTCTACAAATACATTAGATCGTCATTAATTTAGAAAGTATGAACCCCTTTACTGCAAAATCCAGACGGAATTATGTGTCAAAATAATTCAGAAACTTTTTATCTGAAACCTTTTCGAGAGTATTCTCTCTTGATCATCCACAATCTTTTCCAGCGTACACCTCACAACACACATTAAAAAGTCTTGAAGACATTAATTTTACACCATATCTTGTAAAAAACAAATTTTAAAACTTAAAGCAGACGCGTCTCTCGGAATAGATGGTCTGTCTTCATTCTTATTAAAAAAGAGTGCCGATATCATATCCTGTTTCCTCTCTGATATAATAAATTCATCTTTTTGATATCTGGAAAATAGCATCAGTTTTCCCAATCTTTAAAAAAGGCAACAAACTCGATCCAAATAACCATCGACCCATTAGTCTGACATCTCTTGTTTATAAATTAATGGAGTCCATTATTGGCGAAGCAATTCTAAAGTTCTTATCTGATAATAAAGTAATCCCAACTGAGTAACATGGTTTCGTGAAAGGGAAATCTACCATGACCAATTTGTTACAATGTCCTAATGATTGGACTAAAGCTTTAGACGACAAACTTCCAACAGATTTAGACTTTTCCAACCAAAGCAGTTGATCGGGTACCACACAGGAGGTTATTACACAAATTGGTGAATCTTTTATTAAGTGTATTAGTCAATTTCTGTGCGGTAGAAAATTTTGTGTCATAGTGGGTGAATAGTTATCTAGTAAAATAACTAGTATTAAGTGGAGTTCCACAGAATTTTGTTTTAGGACTTCTGTATGCATAACTTATGCATATTGGTAAGAATAATCCAAGACTAATATACAACATTAATAATTTCATTAAAAACTCAGTGTATTCTTATAATGGCTTAAGCGTTATTATAAACTCAAATTTGACTTGAAAAGAACACATTTCCGACACTTGTAAACGGGCAAACAGCAAATTAAACTTGTTAAAAAATCTTTTCAGAAGGTTTTCTCTCAGTCGCTAATCAAACTCTACAGATCACACGTAAGATCGATTATGGAATATTGTGAAACTGTTTGGAATCTAGATCTTGTCAGAGAAAAAATACTGTTAGAAAATGTACAATGTCGGGTAACTAGAATTACATTTGGTCCTATAGAGCTATCTTATTCCGAAAGGCACAAGATGGCAAACATTAACACCTATGATAAACGCCGCCTACGCGAAGACCTTTTGCCTAATGACTGTCGAAGCCAATTTTTCTTTAGTGCTTTAACAAAATGGCAAGTGTGTCGGAAACACTCTAGTCGTGAGTGGGTGCTGTCCTGTAGTCAAGACGTCTGTTTTGCGTTTCCGCCTAGATGGTAATTGATGGTATATATTCAGTTTGGGGTAGGTAGGACATCTATTTTAGTTTAGCTAGGATATTTATTTCATTTTAGAGGTTTGTTTGTGTATTTAAAACTTAAGAGGCGCTATATGCAAGTAATATAGGGTGAGATTACAGAACGTCTGCAACTTTGCAGACCTACAAATATTGCAGCAACTTTACAGAAGCTCTGCAAATCCTACTTGAATCTGCAAATATAAGTTGCAGTTGCAAAAGAAAAACATGGTATTACAGAAACGTGTTTTCACTTTTTTCATCTGTAACTTTGCAGAAGGTTCAAACATTCTACTAACTTGCAGATTGTTAATTTTTACTTCACTTTTTTTCTAATAACTATGAAGTCTTCTATTCCTTTTGATTGAATACAGTTCGTGGTGTCAGATTATCGAATTTTTATACATAGTAATGGATTTGGGTTCAAATTGTTGGGGGTAATAAACCACAATAAATATTGCGAATTTGCAGATATTTTTTAGAATACGCCATATTTGCAGATCTGCAAAGTTGCAGACGTTCTGTAATCTCACCCATAATCTCGTAATTTTCATGTTATTGTGGCTTTGCACATGTCTTGAAAATTCATTTCTGTTCAGACTCAGAAACTGATTTTGACAGTACACAAATCGGATATACGACAAAAGGACGCGGAAAAAAGGACGCAGGACAAAAGGACGCGGAAAGAAGGACGCGGGAAAAAGGACGCGAAGAAAAAGGACGCAGGTCAAAAGGACGTGTGGAAAAAAGGACGCTGGAAAAAAGGACGCATAATTTTATTGAATTACTATAAATAGTTAATTTTAATTGATATTAACAATTAGGTTTAATGACAATGCAAACTTGGTTTTGCAAAACAATTTTAATTGATTTTATTTTCACTTTAAATTCATAATTTCCCAATTTCTGTTTGCCGTTAAATGTAATCTTTTAATTACAAATTACCATATTTTGCCATAAACAATGCTGTCAGGTATAAATGATTACTAACGAGTGCTTGCTTTTTTTACTATAGCTTATAGATTTTTAAAATATTTTTAAAAAGTAATCCTTTCTACCCCTGCCACATTAAATAATTCAGGAATACCTAAAACATGGGGTCTAAAGTAAATATTTATAAGACAGGGTGTACAAAATGACATTTTTTTTGTAGAAGGGATATATAAAAATGCTTACAACA